CTGGTGGCATGGGCTCCTCGCTCTCCTGGGGACGCTGGGGAGCAACCGATGGGCCGTCGAAGGTGGAATACGGGAAGCGCCCAAAAGTACTCGCGCGAATTGGACCGGCGCACGGTGCCGGTCTCCGAGTCCGCAACAGTCGCAGCGATTGCAGTCTGTGTTTCGGTGTTTTTGCAGCGCACTCCAAGATGGTGTCAAACAGGAATAGTGGCATCCTTCATAACACGAAAGCCCAACTTGAAGGAGATGGGTGAGTGTCAATAAGACCCCTATTGAAGGAGGGAAGCTGCATTACGTAGCGCAAGCCGATGTCCCATGACTTAAGGTGCGCGAAATCGACTCGAAGTCCTCATCCAAGCCACAGTACAGGCCTAGAGTGTATCTAGCCAATGCACCGACCGTCAAAGTGCCGATATGCTTACAACTAGCTGTTACACCTCTGGAAACTACACGTAGGCCATCAGGAGTAGGCTTAGTAGATTTGCCCTGTCAGCGGGGAGGCGATGGAAGCCAACATAGAAGACGTGTACACTTTACAGAGTACAGAGGGATGCACAGCAATACAGGTAAGGGATTAAGCTTCTACGGCAGCAGCCTGACTTCCCGCTCGGAAGTAGGGGTACGCTCGTAGTAGTGGATACCGGCCGTCTGCGAACACGTCGACTTCGTGGTGGAATCCAAGGTCTTGAAGTGACCGAATTGCTCCTATGAACGCCGTCAGTGGCACAGCAATGGATGAGATGCAAAATCCACGCACCGAACCCAGGACGTGGTGGAAGTACCACACTTCCTGCAGGACGGTCCCGTTCGAGCCGCATCCGAGGTACGGAATGGCGCCCGTCTGAGCCTTGAGGGCGTTCTGCAACTGGGAGAGCGAGTAGGTGGTCCTGTTCGATGGGAGAATGCCGGAACTGCATCACAGGTAATCAAAGTTGTTGAGATGATGCATCATCGTAAATTATGTCAACTCACGCAGCGAGCAATTCCCAGGTGGGGTACATCTTGTACGCGCGGATGACAGCTTCGAAGAAGTCAACTACATCCTGGTTTTTCTTGTAGTCGGGGCCATAGCACGCAACGTCGAAAGTCGACGTGCAAGTGGCATGTTTGGCAAACTAGGTGCAGAGTGAGTCGGAAGTTACCGTCAGCTCATGAGCTCATGCGAGCATACCTCATGTCCCCAGAAGTCGGCGTTGGGGCTACCCTGGCTGACCCAGTACTTGTTCACTATATTCGTCATCAGCTCAATATGCTTCCCTCTAGAAAGAAAATCGACGTACTGTAGTCAAGCATGTCGAGGCGGCCGAATTCGGCAACGAAGGTGTCTACGCCGGGGCCCTTGTAAGGAGGCACACGCGTTCCATCGGGCAGAACAGAAGGCGATGGGTCGCGGTCGTACTGGCGAGACAAGTCGCAGTACTGTTCGTAAGACCTAAAATAACTCAACTCGTCAGCGCCCGCAATGCACCGATGTAAGCAGAATACGTTACCCGTCGCAGTTATCCGGCCACAAGCCATGGATGGTCCAGCTGTTTTTAGGAAGCAGCTGTCCCCTCGATTCAAGCCCGGTGTAGGTGTCCCAAAATTGCGTCTGCAGCACCAGTCCGCCCGGTGTGGGCGAACAGCAAGTGTTCTGGATCGCGGTCGTGTTCTCGCATGAGTACGTGATCGGCTCGTTCACGCATGCGGAGATGTTGGGGTACGTCCGGGGGAGAGAGAACAGCGAGCTCGCGCTCGCACCAGCCTGGAGGGCGAGAAGGGCGGAGACGAGACCCAGAGCAGCAGCCATGATCGTGGTCAGTGGTCACCGGTGTCCTGCTTCGATGTGCGGAAGACGGACACGGCTGCTCGTCCGCCCCGGGTAACTTTTATATAGAGTCAGCGGGCCACCGTCGGGCATGACGAACGTGCTATCTTGCCGCCGATAGAGGACGACGGACCACATGGATCATGCGCATCAACCAACCCCCGCGGTAGACAGCGATCAAAAACGACGGTGTTGGGAAGGGGATGTCTGTGTTGGTTGAAACCGAGGAAGGTGCCTGACCATCTCCGCCCAATCAGCGGCGCTTAGTGCCAATCCTCGGACGGCGTGTAATCCCGCCAATCCCGCCGCCGCCGATACCATGATCGCTGTATCTTTGGCGGTGCGCTAGAGATGGCATCGGTACTGGTAGCGATGGATTTGTCGCGGTCACTGCTTTGCATATAGCAAGGCTTCTCACTACTACCCGTGTACACATATAGTAAGTGGCATGCACATTGACATTCAAAGGCAAGGACGTTACGGGTACACGTTGGATAGGCTGCAGGTTGTTGACGCGTTACTAAGATGGTGGCGGTCAAGTCTCACGCGCACACTACGGTACTCCGAACAGCCGACAGACAAACGTGCTTGCAGCAGACAGCTACCTACGCACTGAACCACTCCCGGTACCTGAGACGGTCGAGGAGGACTAATGGGGATCAAGATGATTATCGCAGTTCGTTCAGGGCTACAAGCAAGTATACCATGGATCAGTACATGCCCCTAGTCGTTTGAAGGACCTTCTAGAATGAATGGGTACGGAGGCGGGACGCCTCCTCAGTCCACGTTGAAGTCCAGTTCTAGGCACCAGGAGAGCAGCAGCAAGAAAGACACAGCCATCGACAGCCACGACAGAACCTTTGAACAGCGTGAGAAGCGAGAGCCCCGGAGAATATCCACAGGAAGCACCAGCAGCACGAGGTGGAGGAAAGTTAGGAGCTAGGATATGCGAACTTAGACGTCCGCCCAACCTCCTTCGTCCAGTTTGTACGCAGCTTCGCTTTCGGGCCGATCGGGACTGTCCACAAGCTTGGCCACACGCTCTTCCGCTCGCCCTTCAGGATTATGAGCCCACCGTTAGACTCGCTATTATGCATATGAAGTTTCTCTAGTATGCTCCTACCTTTTCTCAGGAATAGCCTGGTCGCCGACGCATGCGAGAGAATATGTCCTCCGATAGGCTTCAAAGCTCCACCGGCAACGAACGTCATGGTCGCGCCCGGATCAGCTGTAAAAATCCACTTAGCGAATGGATAATCTGCATGCGATGTCAGAATGCTTGCATTGTACTTGGTTGGTAATAAGTACGGAAATCTGCATTGCCATCAGTTAGCAAAGCAGCGACACCCTAGGATTCGGCACAGACATTGTACTCCTCGGACAGCTTGCTAAGTTTCGAGAGCATCTATGCGATCGTCAATAATATACGGCATAGAAAGTATGGCTGGAGACTTGCTTGTGCAAGCTATGCCGAACGGTTCAGTATGATGGCAGACACTTCACCACAGTTCCATGCAAACAGCTCACCTTTTGCTGGCGCTCACTGAGTTCGCCTCTTCCTGAGTAGTCGGCCCGGAAGAGTGCCATGATACTATCCACGATCTACGATCGCGTCAGAGCTTAGGGGAACGGAGGATATGATACTCGGGATGTCACCAAAAGCCTGAAATCTTTGTCCTCTGCAAAGCGGATGGAGCATTCGTTGATCAACTCCATCTGGGACGTATTAGCACTCATGATCTGTTCGAGACACCCAGACATACCTGATGTTCGCTATTATGTGCTCTTGCTAAAGGGGAGATTCCGGGATAGGTATACGTCTCGTCTCTAGACGACGAGAACGAACGAACCGTAGAGAATATTCTCCAATGCCATGTTTCCGTCCACTTCGCAGCGTCAGCCTACTCATTGCAAGCAGGAAGCGTACTCTTACCACCGAAGCGATCTGCAATGGACCGAATCCGATCCGGCCTGAACGTACCCTCCGTATCAATGTATGCCACCTTCCCGTACCCAATGTATCAGCGAAAGCCCTTCAGTTAATTCACACACACTTACTTTCCCAGACGCGCCTCCCATGTCCGGGGGCAACTGGGCGACAACGCTCATTGTATGCGCGAGCTGAGTCTTCCCGGTGCGGAACTCGCCGTATACTTCAGTGATCGACTGCGACATGAAGCCACCTACACGCGTTCGGGATGAGCCATGTCCCTCTAAGGTTAAGCAGGTCATCATGGACTTACCACCCAACGCGTTATCCACGGCCTTGCTTCCCGTACTGATGACCAGCACGCGTTTTCGCTTCTCTTGCACTTCTAAACCTGTCGCGAAAGAGGAACCCTATAACCAACTCTGTGAGCAGCGTGTATGCGCCTTCGAAGGCGCATATACCGTACCAATATCTTGTGTGCAGCCTCCTGTTGCATTGCCATATTAGTCCCAGCGGTAGGCAAAGAACCTGACCCAGCACTTGCCTTGATCTTCTCAACTTTCGCCTCTGACATGCCCTGAGGTGATTGTTATTCTCGTGCTTGGGATGATAATTCATCTGAAACAGTACCTTGATCTTCAACATCTGCCTCCTCGTGGTCATGTTCACCCCGGAGACGGTGTTTATAGACGCTGACTATGCGGGGGAGGTAGAGCATGAAGTATAACAAGGATGCAATAGATGCAGGTGCTGGATCTTTACCTTGAGCTTGAGGATATCTTGGACGTTGATACCCTGAAGACGCATCCTTGTTAGTAGTAGCTTCTCGGGCAGACAACACTTCACTGACATGTTGCTGAAGTTCATCCACACTGTCGAAGTATGGGCCCTAGAATATCTGTGTGACTATATGCGCGAGGCGGTGGTGAACTCAGGCATTACCTCGTCAATATCGTCCCCGGAGGGCGAAGCGGGTCGAGAAGGAGCGGGCGCGCTCTGAGATTGTGCACGGCGAACCATATTGCGGAACGAATTGGTATGCAGCAGATCGAGAGGGTGAAAGAAGGTAAGAGGGATGTGCTAGTAGCGGACGAGGGGCATTAGAGTATTTATACCGTGGTGGATCCAAGTACTGCTCCCGAACACGTCTTGGAAAAAGGTCATGGAACCGCGTACGCGTGTACTGGACGCGACGATCTTCAGCCACATGACCGCGTCGACATCCCCACCTCAATTTTGGGTGTAAAGAGAGCAAAAAGACCATGCCAGGAGCGTGGATTGAACACGCGACCTCCAGAAGGCTCTCGATAGCTTCAGTCTGTTGCTCTCCCAGCTGAGCTATCCCGGCGTTACGTCCACAATGCATGCATCGTCTCCCAGGCAGGAACCGCTAACAAGTCATACATCCGATGTTTCGATGATCTCGTTCACCTACCCGTGCATGTTGGGTATTGATCTCAGCGCCATACCTTTGTAGAACGTTCAGTTAGACAGTACGGGTATGAATACAGGTAGCGCTACAAAACAGGGCTCAGGCTTGCGTGTGAATCCCATCTTGCCCTATATCATCGAAGTCGTCCTTCCCAATGTCGTCAATGTCGCCGACAATCTCTACACCAGCTTCGTGGACGCTAGGTGTTCTGCTCTTCTTTCGTATGGCTGGCGGCGGCGGACTAGTGGGCTCGGTATCTATTTGCAACTCTGTCGACCGCAGCGGAGTCGGAGCGCGGATTTCGGGTGTAGGACCAGAGAAGTCTTTCCCTGTCATGCGGGAGAGGGTTGCAATATCTACCACCGATGTGAGCAACGAAGGTGTACCCGCGAGGACGAGGCACATACCATATGGTCGACGATTCTTGAGACAATAAGTGATTCGTGCTGGGTTCTTCTTATCTTCGGCCTTGAATTTGTTCTTGCAAGCTTTCCGATCACGTCCTGGTAGGACGTACGAGATCAACTCATAGTTCTCGCCGAACTGTGAAAGAGCCTGCTCCAAGATGTTAGTCGAACGTATACATATGAGAGCAGCGATCCTTACGTCGTAGAACATCTCGGTCTCCTCGGCACTCCATCGAGAACCCCGGAGCTTCTTGCTGTAGGTCGCAGAATTGACGAACTTCGTGAAGTCGGACTCTTCGACGTGTGTGTATTCCTCCGTGTTATCTCCCTCGTCACGATTGACGAATAACGATTCCTCGTCGATAATCGTTTCGCCGTTTGCACCTATACGAACCTGAACATTGAAGCGACTGACAGCCATGTCTTCAGAGTAATCGAAGCCATCCACGCCCTTCTCGACCTCAGACGTATCGTTCGCCGAATTTGATGTGGTGGGATCCAAAGCAACTGATGCTGCACGGGAGGCCGATTCCGCCACGTCTTGTTGTGACGAAGCTGCATTGTTGCTCGCACTCCGGTTAGCCCCTTCTTCGTCATCTTCGATATTCCTGCCGTATTTCTTGGCCTCCATGATCGCTTTCAAACGAGCGCGCTTCTCCCGATTTGCCGCTCGCCAAGCAGCATGGTTGCTGACAACCTGCGCTGCTTTGCTGCTCACCCGCCCTCGACCGGTGTCATCGCACAGGGCGGCCATGGTAACTGCAGTTGGATCCAACTCCTCACCCGGGTCCGCTTCTGGGTCGAAAGGGGGAGGAGACGGAGCTCGTTTTCGCGAACGGCGAGGCTCTGCTGTTTCAGACCGTTTGCGTTTCTTGGGGGTTGTATCAGGCTCGTTCTCCTGACCCTCCGCTGTTGCTTTCTTGGAACGTCTTTTCTTCGCGGGAGCATCAGCAGCTTCAGCTCCGTTCTCTGAACGAAGGGTTAGCAACCTGGCTGAGAAGCAACATAGACAAGACTCACGTAGGCCTGACTCCTTGTTGGATTGCGCATCACCTGCTGCCTTTCCTCGCGGCGCTCGGCGGGACCTAGGGACCTTGACCGGAGGGACTTCGCTAAGGCCAACAGCTGGTCTCGATTCATCGCCTGTGGCCTGCGCTGCTTCGGGTACAGGTAGAAAGTTCATGCCAGCCATACCAGACGGCCCCATCAACTGTGGATCGATCTGCGAAGAATCGATGGGAAGTGGAACATTGGGCATGTAGGCTCCCATCGCAACTGGCGGCGGTGGTGGGGGGAATGAGGGCTCCATTAATTGGTGGCTCGGCCCAGCGGCTGTAGGAGGTGGTACTGGTGCGGTGGTGGTGATATTTGGTGGGCGCGGGGGTGCTCTAACCATCGTACGAGTCGGCAATGAAATGGGAGTACCAGATTGTGAGGGAAGCTGGGACGAGTTGATCCTGGGTGGTAATCGCGAGAGCGTCGGTGGTACTCGAGGAGCGGACGGTTGTGTGAATAATGAGGACGCATTCGAGTCAAACGTTGCATTATGATAGGAGTTTGTAGCGTCCTCTGTCCGGAGATTGGCATCAGGCACTATGGTGGATTGGGTGTCATTCTGAGCAGGAGGTGCATCCGCTGAGCGCTGGGGTCTTGACATTGGCGGACCCATTCCGGATGCCAAGCCGCTGGTAGGAGTCTCTTGCGTGCTGCCCGAGCTTTGTGCATTTGACGACTCCGGAAGAGCGGAAGGCTGGCGAGAGTCGCCGCCTGGTCGCGGTCGCGGTTTTGCGACAGGCCTGAAGACCGTGTTTCCCTTCTCTGAAAGACGGTAAGAAAATAAGAGATACAAAGATAGCATTGATACTCACGGACGCGTTGTGACATCCCGGACTACTGCAATACGGGCAGCTCAGCGCCTCGAGCAAGGAGGGATTGTGGTGGGTTAAGCGAAGTTATATCAAGGTAAGCGAAGCGCCCGTAGCAGTCTTTGGCTCGACGCGTCTGAGACTACGTGCTTCTCACTGCACTACGAATTCGACCCACTCACGAACCCTCATCTGCAACCATCTCTGGGGTTGTAATCATCACAAGAGTTCATCTCTTGGGCGAGTGAAGAATGCATCGTACGGTACTACAATTGCCCACAGGTCCAGAGCCAGGATGGGAACTCCATGCATCCCGCGGTGAAGGGTTGGATCTCAAGAGTGTGGCTGAGAGGTACGAGTAACTGCTATAACGTTGTCTGTGAACCTCGACGAGAATGCTTGCTCACAATTGCGCATTACATGCGTCAGTCAAGTGGTTCTACAATCCCTCAGACAATGTAAGCGTCTCCATCGCGGCTAGTATGTTGACTCTTCAACGGACCCTCCTAGCACGCAATACATGGCTTTCTAGTATATTTCCCCGGTTCTCAGTCAAAACTCGTGGAAGCAAGGCAGCAGAAGTAACCCCGCCTCCCCACACCACCAAAGCTCACGGGAAATTCGACCTCCATGTCGGACCGCATGTGTTCGCGAATACAGCGATATTCGAAGTCCATTATCTCCCCACAACACCATCTGCCGTTACTGGAGGCAGCCAAGGTATGTATTTTCCAGCGTATTTATTGACCAGATTCGACCAATGTCCTATGCACTGTAGCATCCCCCCAACACTCGAACATCCCGTCGGCAAGTACAAGTGGCGTCCAGTCGTCACTGTCTTCGGTTGCGTTTCCATCAGGCACCTACGTAACACCAGCATTGTCCGCCAAAGTCACCAACGCGGCACAAACGGATCCCGTGCTCGCGAACCTTCTGAACGCCGTCATCAACCGTACTGCGAATGAGCAACAAGTGAAGACATTAGGCTACCTCATACAATCCTTGGACAATGTCCCATCCATAGGATCCCCCGCCTCTGCCGATCCTGGCACGGCTGCTCTCCCTGCTCAACCGTTCTCCTCTCCGCGTCCATTTGACATAGTCCTTGAGTACTACGAGAAACCTGGGGAGCGATTCATACTCCCTCGAGGCGATGTCGTTTGCGATCTCGCAGCCCCGAAGGCACCTTCAATATACCGGTCGTCTGACCTCATCATAACCCACTGTCTCCCTTTCCCCGGAGCGACAAGCTCCGCAGACACGTCCGAACGGGAAGTCGTCAGTCTCCGGTTTTCCCGAGTCTCACAGAGTTTGTGGGAGCTACTGTCAGCTTGGGCAGGAGGACCCGAAATGATCGACCAGAGCAGGTTGAAGCTCATAGAAATTGTGAGCGGGAACAATCGCAGCGCAGTGCGACCTGGTACTGAGTGATGTGTATGTCAGGCAAAGGCGAGCACGCGGTCGTTCTTACAGCATCGTCTGCCCGAAGGAGAATTGTTAGATGAGATCCGAAGCGTGAGCTGAGCTTCCCAAGAGTTGACTTGCATCCTGCTGACGACGCTACCAGGCTGTAGCCCCGCCGTTTACCATGAAGCCCATTAAGCCAGCTGGTGCTGACAGTAATAGGTCTAAACGCAAGTCCGTCTCCCGCCGGCCAACCATCCCTGTTGTGAGCTCTCCACGTCCCAACGAGGTTCCGCCGCCCGTAAAGCGGCGCAGCCAGCCGAAGGCCAAGGCATCGCTCCCACCACCCATTGCTTGCCACTCATGTGGGCAAACAGATGTTCCGCTTATGATGGGCGGGAGTACGTACAGGTACTTTGCCCGCGTCAGAAAAACGCTGATCACCTGCTACAGGATATTGCCGGGAGTGTATCAACGCAGGAAAGGCTGTGGCCGACATTCCCCAACTGCAGCCTAGCAGGGCGGTCGGCGGTATAGCTAGCCCCCAGACTCCTGGTCCTAGCCACAGCCATCCAGTCCCCAGTCCTTCAATTCCAGCCCCGTACATGAGCGCCGCGGGGCCTTATGCACATGCGCCCTTCTATAGGGATCATTCATGATCAGATACTGGCACGCTGTGGAAGCCTTGTGCAGCCTACTGAGACTAGTGTTGCCCGCGACTGGCGTTCTGTGGGTTGTATGTAGTGGTGATTATGAGTTGGTGCTCACGACTGTTCAACCTACTTACGTCCTTGTACAATAATCACTAGTATAAAGATACACGCACAGCAAATCCGATAGCAGTACTATGACTATGTGAACAAACCGACGGACCATCCCAACCACCAAACGACGACGCCCGATTGCGCAAGGAGAACGCAACACTCGAATATCACCGCGCACCACGTAATTAGAAGCCCGATAGTATAGATGGGAATCACGATCCACCACAGTCCAGCATGTGAGATCCAAGGTAGGTTGAAATGTATGGTCAGGGACACGGCGGCGCGCGCCTGGAGGAGCGTGACGACGACGCTGAGGAAGGAAAGACATAGGAGGCCGACCCAATGGCGGAATGATCGTCGCGGGAAGTGCTTGATGGGGTATCGCTTGGGTTCGCCGGTGAATTCGTTACGATACCAGGGAATGATGAGGAAATCTTGCACATCTTCGCCGATAACCTTGCCGTAGTTGCGCCAGA